AACTCATTGTCTCCTGGTGATTGGCCCAAAGTCACCCATCCACTTTCATGCCTAAGGTGGGACTAGAACTAATTGTCTCCTGTTGATTGGCCCTTAGTCGCCCATCCACTTTCATGCTTAAGGTGGGACTAGAACTCATTGTCTCCTGGTGATTGGCTCAAAGTCACCCAGCCAGCTTTCATGCCTAAAGCGGGACTAGAACTCACTGTCTCCTGGTGATTGGCCCAAAGTCACCCATCCGAAGATTTACTACTCCCTTCGGAGTTTAAAATTGAAGACAATTTGCAGTTTTGATGACCTGTAAATATGATGGTAAAAGATACTGAGCTTGTCTGCTGGAGAGCTGGAAGCCCTGGTTCGAGACTCCGAGCTCCACGCAATGGGCTGAGCTCCCGTTCCTGCTCCAACTCCTGCCCATTTAGCGGTTCGAAAAATGCAAACGCGATTAATCAGTACCAATTTGGTGGGAAGGAAACAGCGTTCTGTGCACCTGTGGTGTACAGCCATGATGGCCCCATCAGCAGTGGTGGGATTCAAAATTTTTTACTACCAGTTCTGTGGGCATGGCTTGGTGGCCTGGTGGGGCTTGGTGGGTGTGGCTTGGTGGGCGTGGCAGGGGAAAAATACTGCAAAATCCCCATTCCCTCCCCACCCCACTTACCTGCTTTCCAGCTCTGTTCTCCTGTGCAGGGCAACAAAAGGAGACCCAGACAATCAACTGGGACTTGGGAGGCAGAGAATAGGTGGGGTTGACGGAGCCAGTCAGAGGTGGCATTTGCCAGTTCTCAAACTACTCAAAATTTCCACTACTGGTTCTCCAGAACTGGCCAGAACCTGCTGAATACCACCTCCACCCATGACCATGGGAGCATCTTCAGACAACGTTGGCTGCCTCAGCTAAGAAACAGAGATGAGCATTGTGCTCAGACATGATTGACAGGGAAACCTGTAACTTTTAAACAGCATTCAGAGCACCCTTCAAAATGCAAAGGGAGGTTGCAAGTTTACGTTTTAAAGGCTCTGCAGGTGCTACTACAAATTTAGAGCAATTCTGTATTGTAACAGCTTTTCGGGGCAGCATTCAATTGTGGGGGGAAAACACGGTTTTCTTCCATCGAGTCTTATTAGCTAGCAGATTCTGCCCTCCAGTGGAAAAGACCGAGTATATATATATCATATATACATCATCAGGCTTCTGTATTGCGTTCGTCTGTGAGTCAGACTTTGAAATGGCTGTGAAAGTCTGACTCACGGATGAACAAAATACAGAAGCCTGATGATGGCAGATGAGATTCTGCCGAAAAGTTGCTACGACTTTAAAAGCACAACTACAATGACGTGGGAAAATACCCGAACAAAGCTGAATACCATACATACATACATACATACATACATACATACATACATAGATATCCACCAAAAAAAGGCACCAGGTCTTATTTTGGGGAGATGTCATCCATTGACTAACCTCACTTGCGTGTGTCACCCCCGGTCTCCTTTTCACTGTCACAGGCCTCAAGAACTTCTTCTTCTGCAGCCAACAAGGCTTTCCTGAAGGCCTCTGCAGGGGTTAACAGAATTCAGGATCAATCCAGAGCTTTTTTTATCAGCTACGGAGGCCTTCAGGAAAGCCTTGCCAGCCTTGCCGGCTGCAGAAGAAATGGACTGGCAAGGCAGTTGTTGAGTTGGGTGAGGCCTGGCTACAGCTGTCCAAAGGTAAGTAGTAGGGCAGCTCCACCACCACCTCATCCCCACCCTAGCTTAATTTTTAACCATGCATTCTGGAGTGGGAGGGGCCTTAATTAGGGTTTATTATGGAGAGGGGAGGACTTATATTGGGCACACGTGTAAAAATCAAGCTAGGGCTTACTTTCAAGGTAGGTCATATTTTGGGGAAAACAGGGTAGCTTGCTTGTGGGTGCTGTGAGTGGGTGCTGTGAGTTGTGGGTGCTCCATCATTGGAAGTTTTCAAAAATAGACTGGATAGCCACTTGACCAGAATAGTATAAGATCTTCTCCCCTGGGCAGGGGTTTGGACTAAAACAGGGGTCTCCAACCTTGGCAACTTTAAGACTTGTGGACTTCAATTCCCAGAATTCCTCAGCCAGCTGGCTGAGGAATTCTGGGAGTTGAAGTCCACAAGACTTAAAGTTGCCAAGGTTGGAGACCCCTGGACTAAAAGACCTCCGGGGTCCTTCACAACCCTATGATTCATATTAAATGTCCGCAAATAATGAATTGGACTAATGAATACTAAGGTAGTTCTCAACTTACAACAGTTCATTTAGTGGCCATTCAAAGTTACAACTGCATTGAAAAAAGTGACTTTTGACTATTTTCCACACTTACGACCATTGCAGTATTCCCGTAATCACACGATCAACATTTGGATGCTTGCCAACTGACTCATATTTATAACGGTTGCAGTGTCCCAGGATCACCTTTTGCGACCTTCTTACAAGCAAAGTCAGTGGGGAAGCCGGATTCACTCAACAACCACGTTCCTCGCTTAACAACTGTAGTGATTCACAATTGGCAATTGTGGCACCAAAGGTCGTAACGCAGGGCAAAACTCACTGAACAAGTGTTTCACTCAGCAACAGAAATTTTGGGCTGAATTGTGGTTGTAAGTTAAAGACTACCTGTAATGAATGGGTGGGGTTGGACTAGAACCGTGATGACAAACCTATGGCATGCATGCCAGAGGTGGCATGCAGAGCCATTTGTGCCGGCACATGAGCCACAGGCAAACTTACCTCACTGCACATGTGCACACCTCACAGCTGATTTTCGGCTAGTTTGAGGCCTTTTTTAGCCTCCCAGAGGCTTGAGGAAAGCCTCTGCGGCCTGAAAAATAGGCCCGTTTTATTACTTCCCGTATTTCTGGAAATACCGGAAGTGACAAAATGGGCCTATTTTCCAGGCCGCAGAGGCTTTCCTCAAGCCTGGGAGGCCGAAAAAGGCCTCAAACAGGCCGAAAATCAGCTGGGAAACGCAGTGCAGGTAAAGGGGCTGGGGATTGCGCACACATGCGCAGGGGGTGTGTGCGCATTGGCTTCTGGGTGCTGGCATACGAGTGCAAGCTCGCACACAATTTTTGGCACAGGAGCCCAAAAAGGTTAGCCACCCCTGGACTAGAAGATCTCCAAGGTCCCTTCCAGCATTATATTTCTATGTTCTCTTCTCCTACACTCTGGTTTTTATACAAATCACCCGTAAGTCCACCCTGTCTGCTCTGACTTTTTCAACTAGAACCTATAGCCATACTTGTCCTATTATTGTAAATATAACAGAACTATTGAATTTCTTTATGTCTACAGCAGATAAATATCCAGAGACCCATTTACAGAATATGTATGATGTGGGCTAAGGTAAACTTCTCTCAAGTTCATACTTTAATGGACAACTCTCTGAATAGAAGTGATAATTGCAATAAATCCAAGGAGAACCCTGCAGTTAGACAGCTGGAAACTATCTTGTTTACTAACCACGGTAAAGAAGACACCTAAAAACCCCCTCTCCTACTGACTATCTATTTTTAGTGGTAGATTCAAAGCCGGACAACTGAAATGGTTGTGAAAATAAGGTCTCTTAAGACCTCCTCAAGGCTGTCTGATCAGTCTTCTCGGAGACGGCTGTGTTTACACAATACACTCAAATTGTCCACCCAGCAATCCATTCTCCAGTTTCATATAAATACATTAAATAAGCTCGCCAGAGGTTGGATTTGCACAGGGTGCTAAGCAACCGAAGAACAAATAAGCTCTAACCAAGGTTAAAACAACCCAGCATGTTGAACAAATGCAACTGCCTGGTTTTCAACTGGCTTGGCAAGAGCGCATTGCGTAAACACAACGAAGGAGAACCTCTGCTGCGGGAGTGCAAACAAGAATTGTACTTTGTGTTACTTGGTGTAAATACTTACAGATTGAAAAGCTCTTTGTGGGGGGATCACAGGACTGAATAATTTTTGCAAAGCAGCATTCTAACCACTGATATTTTCCAGATGTTATTCTTTCCTTGTACGGATTTTATTTCGTGTCATGTGTACCACCCAAAGCCATAATTAATCATTAGAGGGTCGATTTGATCTAGTGATTAAGGCACAAGGCTATGGAGTGGTGTAGTGGCCTACAGGTGGAGCTCTCGCCTCACAATCAGGATGCTGTGAGTTTGATCCTAGGTAGAGGCAGATATTTTTCTCTCTCTGGGCACAATGAGAATATATCTGCTGGACAAAACTCTGCATCGGTGACAGGAAGGGCATCCGGCCATTAAAATACCTCTGTTTGCTCCATTCAAACTCATTAAATGAAGATGATAATTAAAGCACAAGGCTAGAAACTAGGACCATGAGTTCTAGTCCCACTTTAGGCATGAAAGCTGGTTGGGTCTGTCTGTATTCGTGTCGAAAGCACCGGCAAAGCTAACCAGTGGTCCATCTAGGTTGGAAGGTTTTGCCGGCGATAACACGGTAGCCCAGGGGATGCCCGACTCCAAAAGTAATACAATCTTCAGGGAGGCTCTTTTCATGAACCCCACTCCCCACCCCCGGTTGGGTGAATTTGGACCAGTCTCTCTCTCTCTCCCTCAACCCAACTCAGGTTACAGAGTTCTTGTGGGGAAAATAGGAAGAGGGAAGAATATTAGACATGTTCACATGCCTAGAGTCGTTTATAAAAATAATAAAAGTGGGAAAGAAATAACAAGAGTTCAGGTAGTTTGTAAATTTAATGCAATCATAAATCGATAAAGGTTGACAGAAATCATTAGAAATGGTTCCACAAAGGTAGGTTATTTTATTCTCTTGAAAGAAAACCATTCCAAGTCAAAACACACACACACACATACTTTTTTACTCCAAATTATCTGCTTTAAAAACTTATACAAGTAAGAATTGGGAATTGAACGTTTCCAAATGTGCTTTAAACAATTCCCCACCCACCACCCCCAGTGAAGCTGTCAGTCTCTCCACAGGAGAAACCTTGAAATGGTTTTTGTAATCTTTCATCTTTGAAATTGAAGGAGGTCTCAAAGAAGCTACATCTGCAAGATCATCGGGTGACTGTAGGGTTCAGAGGAAGGAGGCGAGTCCTTTTTGTTTTTGGAAACGGGCAGCCCGACCAGCAAAGTCGAATAAATAAATAAATAAATCAAGCACCCCGGTAGTATATTTATTCAAGTCCTTGTTTGGTTCCTTGGGCAGAGTCGAGTCTTCCTGGGCCAAAGGAAGGGTTAAGTTGCTGTGAAGTGACGCTCTGAAAAGGCAAGACATTTCCTTGTGACAGATTTGCCTGCTGTTTCTCAACTTTGCCTTAAATACAGATAATCCTCGACTTAGGTTTAACGACCATGATTCAAAAGTTACAACATCACTGAAAAAAAAAGTGACTTATGGCTGTTTTTTTCACGCTGACGACCGTTCCAGCATTCCCTGTGGTCACATGATCAAAATTCAGACCCTTGACAACTGACTCGTATGTATGACCATTGCAGTGTCCCGTGTGTGTGTGTGTGTGTGTGTGTGTGTCACGTGATCCCCTTTTGTGACCTTCTGGCAAGCAAAGTCAATGGGCGGGAGCCCGATTCATTGAATGACCGCGTTACTGACTTAACAACTGCCGTGATTCACTTCACAACTGCGGCAAGAAAAGTCGTAACGTGGGGACAAAACTCACTTCACAACTGTCTCGCTTAGCAACATAAATTTTGGGTTCAACAGCGGCTGTAAGTAGAGGACTATCTGTATTGTGGGGAATGAATGGCAGCTGATAATTTGGTACACGTCTGCCTAATTTTTCCACGGCTATCCCACCATCCAGGCAATGTGATAAAGCAATGAAAGCTTAACTAGCAGCTGGGCATCTACCGGCTGGAACAGATGAAGTTCAAAACACTTGACTTGGCTAGCTTGGAGTAGATTGGGCTACCTTTGAGCTACCCAATTGAGGGCCAAGTGGTAATGGAAGGAAAAGATGAAGGAAATCTCTCTCCATCCTGAACCTTCAGTTATAGTACCTCAGGCCTTCATTAAGTACTACTTATTAGAGGGCACCCTGCTTTATACCAGTAGAAGGAACCCAGATCAACACTAGACTGGTAATTAACACGACTGGTAATCAAGTAAACAATACCCCAATTAACACTAGACCAGTAATCAAGTAAATAATACCCCAGTCAAGGAACTATCAACACAGACAAATAACACTAAACAACCACTTACTCAAGAATCCACCAAGCACTGATGGGACAAGCCACTAGTATATAAAAATAAGATCAAACCCCGCTCCCTTCAAGCACTGATGATGTTACCTAGTTTGGTAATGAAATGTCTGCAAGAAAAGTCTATCATCTGCACCTCTATAACTGCCTAGTTTGGTTCTGCAACCCAACAGGACAGACACAGACTTCAGAGGATAATTAGGACTGCAGAAAACACAATTACTACCCACCTGCCTTCAATTGAGGAGCTGTATACTGCACAAGTCAAAAAGAGGGCTGTGAAAATATTTACAGACCCCTCACATCCCCGACATAAACTGCTTCAATTCCTTCCCTCAAAGCGATGCTATAGAGCAGGGGTCCCCAACCACCGGGCCGCGGACCGGTACCGGGCCGTGGAGCACTCTTTACCGGGCCGCAAAGAAAAAAAAATTAAAAAAAATGGCGGCTTTCTTCGCCTTCAGTGAATGCTGCTGGGATCGGGGATCAAGGACACAAATGAAAGAAGGGGAGGGAGGAAGCAACCGAAGCCTGTCCTGCTCTCTGGCTCAGCTCTCTCAGTCGCTTTCTCGCTCCTCCACCAGCCCAGGAAGAAACTGCTTCAAAGAAGCCAGGGGGTGGGGTGGCTTTTCCTGTCGCCGCAGCTTCCCCGAAGCGCCCGTTTCACCCCCACCCCGCCCGCCCGCTCGCTCGCGGTTCAATCCACAGTGCTCCGTTCTGCCTGCCTGCCTGTCTGGTTGTTTGGGAGCAGCTTCGGCTGAGAATAATAACTATTCGCCTCTTTTTATCAGCCGAAGCTGCTCCGAAACAAAGAAGGCAGGCAGGCAGGTAGAACGGAGCACTGTGGATTGAACCGCGAGCGGGCGGGCGGGCGGGGTGGGGGTGAAACGGGCGCTTCGGGGAAGCTGTGGCGACAGGAAAAGCCACCCCACCCCCAGCATCTGGGGCTGCTGGAGGAGCGATAGAGTGACTGAGAGAGGAACGAGGCAGACACCTGAGGGAGGGAGGGAGGGAGGGAGACACCTGAGGGATGGGGCTGAGGGAGGCAGGGCCGAGGCGCTCCCTGAACTTGGTGGTTTGCTGGCAGACGTTTTATTACCCGACTAGGTAACAACATCAGATGTTACCTAGTCAGGTAATGAAACGTCTGCAAGCAAACCACCAAACTCGGATTCTCCCCCCCCCCCCGGTCCTTGAAAAAATGTTTCTGCTTGAAACCGGTCCCTGGTACAAAAAAGGTTGGGGACCACTGCTATAGAGCACTGCACACCAGAACATCTAGACCCAAGGAGTTTTTTCCTGAACGCCATCACTCTGCTAAACAAATAATTCCCTCAACACTGTCCAACTATTTACAAAGTCTGCACTACTATTTCTGTTAATCTTCTCATCACTCCTTATCACCCATCCCCTCCCACTTGTGACTGTATGCCTGCAACTTTGTCGCTTGTATCCTTATGATTTATATTCACTGTTTCCTAGTATGACTTGGTTGCTTAGTGTACCTATGACTATCATTAAGTGTTGCACCTGATGATTCTTGATTCTTGATGAATGTATCTTTTCTTTTATGTCTACTGAGAGCATTTGCACCAAGACAACTTCCTTTTGTGTCCAATCACATTTGGCCAATAAAGAATTCTATTCTATTCTATTCTATTCTATTCTATTCTATTCTATTCTATTCTATTCTATTCTATTCTATTCTATTCTTCTATTTCTATTCTAAAAACACCAAGCTCAGAGAGCACCGAGGTCCTCACAGATTAACAGTATTTTTGTTCAACTTGAAAGTCATTTCGATTCCCCACCCTGCTTTGCCTACATTCGGAAATTGCCAAGTTCTCTTCTGTTAAGGATTCAAATGCTTTACTTACCTTTCAGGTCAGGACAAGAAGGCCTTCATGCTGTCCCGAATGGCCCCTCTGCAGATGGGGCAGCGCCTCAGATTAGGAGCGCATTCAGCACACACCACTAGGTGGCCACAAGGAACCAGCACAATGGACACGTCTTTGTCCATGCACACCTTGCACATCCGCTCCTCTTGAAGCCGGCGCAGTTTTTCTTCCATGCTGGTGGTCGATTCTGGAGATAGAGAAGAGATCCCTTAGGAAGGCAGTTGGAAGTTGGATTAGCATTAGCCATAGCACTAAAGACTTATATACAGCTTCACAGTGCTTTTTTAAAAAATTGTTCTTTTTCACATTTTACAAATCTTGATCTTAACATTAACGGTACAGTGACATCATTATTACCTATACCAATCTCATATAAATATATACATTTATATACATTCATATACATTTGTCTATAATTTTATCTCTATTTTTCTTATTTCTATTGTTCAACCAATTGTACCAATTGTCCCAAACTTCGTAATACTCTGATTCTTCTTTACCCTTTAATTTTAATGTAAGTTTATCCATTTGAGCACAATCTAAAAATTTTTAAATTACTAATTCCTCTGACAGTGTGTTATTTTGTTTCCAACATTGTGTGAATGCTACTCTTGCTGCTGTCAATATATGTAGTAGAATATATTTAATCTTTTTTACTATATTTTCCTTTAATTATTCCTAACAAGAACAATTCCGGTTTAAACTCTATCCGATCTTCCACTATTTCTTGTATCCAACTCCATATTTTAGTGCAGTACTTTTGGACTTCTGGGCATGACCACCACATATGATGGAAGGTACCTTGGTTCTGTTTGCATTTCCAGCATCTTGGATTCATATTAGGGTACATTTTGGCCAATCTCATTGGTGTCAGATGCCAACGGTCACAGTGCTTTTTACAGCCCTCTCTAAGTGGTTTACAGAGTCAGCCTATTGCCCCCAACGATCTGGGTCCTCATTTTATCAACCTTGGAAGGACGAGTCCACCTTACTCTGCACTCGCAATCTAGGACTACGTGGGAGATTGTAAAGTTTGATGCAGTGATAATGAGCTCAATTTTAATTTATGGGGAATCTATTGGAATATCGTTTGTGCACATAAGTCAAGCGGCACATCCCATTTTTGCGGGGGAAAGTCGTTATATGAAGTTGTTGTCTTGCATAAAAAGCCTCACAACTAGATTCACCAAAATAGTATGCACCAATTTTATCCCAAAGATGCTTTTTTAAAGAGGCAACTGGACTTTCTTTCCTTTTTTTTGAAGATATTTTGCTTCTTATCCCAGAAGCTTCTGTGCCTGTGCTCAACAGTGAAAGAAAACAGGGCAGAAAACATCTTGCAGAAAACACAGCTCCACAACACAGCATTCAGCAGTTCCAAGAAAGCTCCACACCTATTTGCATTACTCGGGTGACCCTGAGGACACAGACAAACCTCCCAAGTGGCCTGAAATACTCTCTAAAAGAACGCAAATGACCAGCAGTCTGCAAGGAATGTAAATTCTTCCATTCTCCACTACCCAGTCAGAGCTGAAGAAGCTTCTTGGATGAGAAACGAAACATCTTCAAAGAAAAACCAAGAAAGTCCAGTTGCCTCCTGAAAAAGCATCTTTTGGAACAACCATGACCTGGATGACTGAGAATCTCCATCGACATGTACCAACTTTATCCATCAACTGTCATTTAGGTAAGATGAACTGCGAGTTTTATCACTGACCATGTTGTCAAGGCACAATACGTTTTCAATGTTTCTCAACCTCAGTGACTTTAAGATGTGGTGGATGGCAACTCCCAGCATTCCCCAGCCAGCACATTAGGAAGCATGAAGCTAAAAAAGACTGCTTTTGCAGTAGAAGAGTTGTGTTACGTAAGAACAGTGCTTATTCTCACGTTTCCAAGAAGAAGTGACGCTTAGCTATTCCAAGAAATGGAAGAGAAAAGAAGAAGAAGACTCAACTATCAGGGTGGGATGGACTCAATTACCAAAAAAATGGCTATCCTGTTAGAAGACCTGCAGGACGCAATTGGGGGATAAAAATTATCTCCATGGTTGCTAAAAGCTGACGACTGACTTGACAGCCCATTGTAATGATTCCAGGTTCATACACTTAATTTGATTTAGACTTAAGGCACATTCGGATTGTCAAGGATTTCATTCACTCAAACCCCCCATGCAATCTGAAAGCAACCTGCAGCGGTCCTCTGTTCTGCCCATTGTATATGCTGAGAACATTGCAGATCAATTCAACACAGCAGATATCATTGTCCTGGTCCTTCACTCCCATCCCACACAAAGGTGATTCCGAAAAACAAACCCAGCAACCTGGCATTTTACAGAGGTATTTTCTCCTGCTGAAGAGAAACTAGAAGCCTCTTTAAGAAGGGACTGGACAGTCACCTGTCCGAAATGGTATAGGATCTCCTGCTTGAGCATGGGGGGTGGACTAGAAGACCTCCAAGGTCCCTTACAACTCTACTCTGATTAATGTTCTGATTAAGCGAGCGACTAATTTAAACCCTCGTTGACATCGCTCCTGCTCCTTCTGGCTTTGTTACTGAATGGAAGTAAAGCTATCAAACTATTGATTCTTTTACAAGACTCAAACAATTCAGGATCCAGGAAAGAGCTCCGAAGACAAAATGCCACCCATTTTTGTCGTGGTTTTGCACTTTGCAGCTAAGGGCAGTAATTATTCAGCTTCAGTCTAATTCAAGTCTGCCACCTTCGTGTTGACACAGGGGAGAAAAGATGCTTTCAAATTGGTCTGGGATGTGGAAGCACCCAAAGTCATGACCATGGACTGATTTCTAGTCTAGTCTGACTTCAGGGGGGCGGGGGGGGAAGAATCCTCTGGCAGGGTATGGAACTGGAGATACAATGTTAGACAGAATAAGCGAAGAAAAGGACATTGTTCATAGCAGGTGACTGCCAAATGAGTGAACGGTGTGGTCTATGAAACTGCGAAGGAAAACAAAACTCTGGGATGTATCACTAAAGGGATCACCAGCAGGATAAAGGAGGTCCTAATCTGTATATATAAAAATGAAATATCACTTGAGCAACATCACAAAATCTCCAGAACCGTAAAGCCTAAAAAAGTTGAAATTTGACATGTATGTTCCTCTTGGCTTCTAGGTGCTCACTAAGAAAGGATTTTTCGAAATGACCATCAGAGCATTACTATTTCCTATATTATTATTATTATTATTATTATTATTATTATTATTATTATTATTATTAACACGCTCTGATGCTAAGGAGTTCTACTCCCCCTCCCCACCTGGAAAGAAATCTGTTCCAAATGCAAAACACAAGCAGAGGAGAGGAGTTTCAGTTTTACTTTCACAGCAACAACCAGCTTTAGTACAGAACAGTTGAGTTAAGCCACACCCAGGCTCCTTGCTGTCTCCTTCTTGCTCGCATAGCAAATACTGTTTCACTTTCCAAACAGCCCTCAACTCTCTCGCACACTGACAGGACGCCAGCCAGATGAATACCGATGGATGCTGGTAGGCAGAGGCACAATTTTCCCCCTTATTTTCCTCCCCCAAAACTAAGCCCAACCACAGAGTTTCATAGCGAAGCACGGGGATCGAGCTACTCTCACTATATGGGGCTTTGGGCAGATCCCATGTGGAATACTGTGTGCAGTTCTGGAGACCTAAAAAAAGATATCGACAAGATCGAGGGAGTCCAGAGACGGGCAACAAAAGTGGTGCATGGTCTAAGGACAAAACTGACAATCTCAGGAGAGTTTGGAGGAACTGAATATAGCCTGGAGGATAGAAGGGGAAGGGGGATTTGATGGAAACCTTTCAATATATTAAGGGAGTGAATAAGGTTCTAGAAGGCAGCGTTTTCAATATTAAGCAAAAATCACGAACATGGGGGCATAACCTCAGAATGACAGGCAGGAAGTTCAAAAAGCCATGTTAGAAAATTTTAGTCCACCGAAAAAGTAGTGGAAGCTTGGAACCAACTTCCAGCGGAGGTAGCAGGTCAATCATCAGTAGCCGAGTTTAAACATGCTTGGGATCTATACATGTCCATCATCCGACAAAAATGTTAAAAATAAACAAAATTAAAAACAACTTAAAGGGCAGACTCGATGGATCACGAGGTCTTTTTCTGACATCAGTTTTCTGTATCTAATAGATACTAGTAGTAAATAGTAATGATTTGCTGCTAGCATTTGCTACTAGTAACATACTTGTTACTTTTTCTTTGCAATTGTTCTCCACCTGCAGGAATCTTTACCTGGCTTATGGGAGCATTCCACTTGTGTCTCTCTTCTTACTCTCCAAGGATCTGGTTCTCTTTCCATAGACTCTGTATGGATAGGAGAAGAATAAGAGAGTGCATTAAAAGACAATGCTCAGAAGGATATCTGCCTTTGTCCAAAAGGAAGTCTGTCAGTAGGTCAAAGACCTTTGCAGAAGTTATCCAAAATAACTCCCTACACAGTTGTCCCAAAGTTGCCTTTTCAAAACCCAACTGGACTTTTTGTTTTTCCTTGAAGACGTTTTGCTTCTTGTTCAAGAAGATGGATGAGAAGAACTGAAGACGTTTTTGGATGAGAAGCGAAAGCTCTGCAGGAAAAACAAAGGAAATCCAGTCGCCTCTTGAAAAAAAGCACCTTTGGGACAACCATGACCTGGATAACTGAGAATCTCCACAGACGTTTCTGTACACAGTTCAATCTTCAAAGGACACCGTCAGAACAAACTTCTGAACGTGTACTTTATGTTGAAATGCTCGCCAGAAGTAACAAGATCCTTCCCTTGATTTTGGACCATCTGCACATGCATATTCCATATTTCCATCAACAGTAATTTTTCATTTCTGCTGGAGGCAAGTGGTGCAGAGCACACGGTGACTTCTTGGAAACAATGGTATCGGTGGAGGTACCTAATGGATAGCACCTAATGGATAGTTAGCACCTAATGGATAGTTATTCATTGTTGTAGTTTTCTTTAGAAGTTTCTCTATTTATTGTTAGAGCTAAAGCTGCCAAGAATAGGAGCTTAGAAAAGAATCCACACGAGGCATAGACACATTACTCAATTCACATGTTATGCTGGTGTATTAAACAGATTCAACTTTTTTTAAAACATAGAGCTGTGTAAATTACGGTTTACAATATACGTATTTTCTATATGAAGCTTTGACTTTGACTAAATATGACACTGAAGCTGCCTTATATGGAACTTTTGAGTTTTGTTTATTCCAATCAAGTATTTCAATGCAACTATTCTCTCCATTTTCTTCTATTAAGAGGAAGAGGGGGCTGACCTAGTACACACCACTCCATATATATGTAAACACACACGGATTATCTAATTTAGATGGCAAAATGGGCAGCTTGTAAGTCTAATAAATAATAATAATAATCTGTGAACTGCAAGCCAGCGTGGCAATGCAGCTTTCAAGATACCTACACTTTTATTTGGCATCAAACAAAAATGGGAAGCCTTGTTTTGTTTCTCTAATAGAGAGAATTTTCCAGATTTTGCTCACAGATAAGCTAAATGACATAATACAGATGGAAAGAATGGAGTTTCGTAGTATCCATGGTGAAAATGTTTTTACCTGCAGAGAATACTGACGTATTAAGACAATTACACCTCTTTGTCTGTGCAAGGTTTTTTTTAAACAGGTCTGATTGACAACGGAAGTATAAACTCTTATTAGAGACCCCATGCTGTCATTCTATGTACACCTTTTACGTAACAAACATGCTCTGGAAATCACTAGTTGCTCATCTTTGGGTAGGCCTTAGTCTGCATGAGGCTTTTAGCAGCATGCCCAGAGTTACAATCACCCTATATGATTGAAGACAGGATTTTTTTTTTTAAAAAAAAAAAAGGACAAGGGATCAGGTCAACAATTATATTTAAATCAGAAGTGAGTCAGTGTTCAAAAAAATTGTGGGACAGTGATCTCCAGGGAAGTCACAGAAAACACAAGCACGTTGAAGTGTGCTTAATGCGGTCCTAAGGAGGAAGATTTTACAAGCATTAACAGAGGGATACAATCAAGATCAAATGAGGTACTAATACCACTCTATAAAGCCTTAGTAAGACCACACCCAGAGTACTGCATCCAGTTTTGGTCACTACACTATAAAAAAAAAAGCTGTTGAGACTCTAGAAAAAGTACAGAGAAGAGCAACCAAGGATGATTAGGGGACTAGAGGCTAAAACATATGAAGAACGATTATAGGAACTGGGCATGAAGGACCAGGGGAGACAGTATAGAGGTCTTCCAATATTTGAGGGGCTGCCACAGGGAGGAAGGAATCAAGCTATTTTCTAAAGTGCCTGCAGGCCAGACAAGAAATAATGGATGGAAATTGAACAAGGAGAGATTTAACCTGGAAATTAGGAGAAACTTTCTGACAGTGAGAACAATCAACCAATGGAACAGCTTGCCCTCAGAAGTTGTGGGAGCTTCATCACTTGAGACTTTCAAGAAGAGATTGGACTGCCATTTGTCAGAAATGGTGTAGGGTCTCCCACTTGGGGGGGATTGGTCATCTAGTCCAATCTAACTCTGATTATCTGTAATCTGCATTTTTGGCATGGTTGTTAAACAAATCAAGCTTCCCTCAATGACTTTACTTTCCAGAATATGTCTGGGAAGGCTGTAAACGATGAACACATGACCCTGGGATACTGTAACCATCATTAACACAATTGGCAAGTGGCTGAATTTTAGTCACATGACTGTAGGGCTACTGCAATAGCTTTAAGCGTGAGAACCAATTTCAATCCAGTTTTTTTTTCAATGCTGTTTGAAAGGCACTAAGTTGTCAAGTGAAGTTACCTGTTGCTAAAAAAAACTGTTGCTGATACTAAAAATGCACATAATAAGGTGGAAATTAGTCATCCATCCTTATAGGTTAAGTCTAAAATGTAGGATTGTGGGATACTGTGCAAAGAGCACTGGGGTCTCCCACCTGAAGTTCAAAGCCTAAGAAGTCAGCACTAACAATGTTACCAACATTAAGCAAAACATAAACCTCTTTTTTACCTACCGTGAGAGCTTTCTGAATATTCAGACCAATGCAAGCTGTCTTCCTGAAAACCAAGACAAAGTAGGTATCACCAAGGAGAAGACTGTATTAATTTCTAAGGTATAGAGCCACCAAACTCACAGGTTCTGAATGGCATAGAGATGAAAGGCAAATATCAAAAACAAAACAAAGGTAAATGTAACAGCAAAGATAAAAACTGGAGTAACGGACACACAGGGAGTCCTTAAATTACGACCACAGCCCAACATTTCCGTTGCTAAGCCAGGCAGTAGTTGAATGAGTTTTGCCCCATTTTACAACATTTCTTGACACCATGGCTAAGAGAATCACTGCAGTTATTAAGTGAGTAACGCAGCTAAGTGAATCTGGCTTCTCCAATGAATTTGCTTGTCAGGAGGTCACAAAGGGGATCACATGACCCCCCAGGACACTGCAACCATCATCAATACAAACCAGGCCTTTGAATTTGGATCACGCGGCCATGGGGATGCTGCAACAGTTGTGTGAAAAATAGTCCTGGGTCATTTTTGTCAATGCCGAGTGGTCACTAGAAACAAATGACTCTAAATCAGGGGTGTCCAACCTTGGCAACTTTAAGGCTTGTGGACTTCAACTCCCAGAGTTCCTCAGCCAGCTTTGCTGGCTG